CCAGGCTCCCAATTTTTCGACAAATCCCATTGAATGGAGATGATTGAGAATAGTTTTGTGGTCACAGTTCATTTTTTCGACTAATTCACGACTAATTTGAGGACCATCCTGCTTCACAAGTGCTCGGAGACGCTCTTCGTCGAACTTGTCAGAAGGTCTTCCGCTGTGGGGCAGGTTTTCGACGTTAAAATCGCCATTTTTGAATTTTGCAAACCATTTCCGTGCTGTCGACTCACCTATGACACCTTCTCCGTATACATTGCAAATATCCCGGGCTGCTTCAGTAGCTTTTTGGCCGCGATGGAAAGCGAAAAAGAGCAGGTGTCGAAAGTGCTAATTTTTACCTCCTGGATATTCTATTTCTGAGCCTCAATAGTAATAACGAATGAAACTACTGAAAAAAACGATTAACACAGTTTTGTAGAGCAGAAAGAGCTCTATCGAATTTGTATTTTTGTTTACATAGAACGTAGACTTCATTTCATGTAGTACTAGACTGATCCACAGTAGGTTTTTGTACATTCTGCGTGATTCCGTATGGCCTTAAGTGATAAATTAAGTAATCCAAAACGTACATCATATTAGGCGACACGTAATGAAAGGATATTGCGGTATCGGAACAACAATCGAGACCATCATTGCTTTTGTAATAAATGTACTTCCAGTACCAGAAGTCTTTATCCACGTGATTCGGAATTATGTGGTGCTCCGGTACAAAAGGAAAAAATCGCCCACGACCGTATGGATCTCGTGTGTCCATTGCTGTTACGTTAATGTTCTCAAGACACTTTCCCATTTCCACATCTTCTGCACCGGCATTATCCGAACGACACTTCGTCGTATCAGACAAAGCTTTCCTCACGAATTTTCGCAAAGCTTTTTTGCTAAGTACATATCCTGCACCACCACTCATATATCCCTGCTTTACAAACGGTTTAAACCTACAGCCAAAATATAGCGGCGAACTTGGATCGTAAGACGAAAGCATATATCGTAGATTTTCTACCACCACGTATCTAGAAATATTTTAGTGAATTAGTTAGTTCTAAATTGAAATAACTCGGTCTATAGATAAAAATGCAGTTTTATTACAGACTAGTTATTGCTTAATGTATTTTGTCAATGTAAATAATGTTAATTAATGATTGAAATCAAAATGCTTATAGTTGTATAGAATATGTAACTGAAATTTTAAATCATTATGAAATGGATTTCTAGTGTGCATGTCATTTTTCAATTTAATTCATTTAGAAGATTATTGTAATGAAGGTTCTAATATAGATAATTGCAATATAAAATTTTGAATCTTCAAATGCTGTTGTTATTACATTAAATGTTAAAAATTTTCAAAATAAACTGGTGGTAATAATATAAAATATGTATATTACTAAAAAGTTTGGATTTAACACCTATAAACTGCAGGAAAAAAGAAGCATTCGGAATTACTCACGTGTCATCATCAGCCTTCATAAACCAATCAGCTTCATCTTTGTACTTTTCATAAACATATTTAAATGCTTCTTTGGTTTTTGCCCATAAGTTATCTCTTCCTTCTTTTACTGGCAAAGCAATTGCAGGTAAATTTATATCTAAACAAAAGGAATTTAATATTGTTTTGATTATTTATTTCTAATTTAGAACTTATATGATCAAAATATAAATAATTTACCTTCTGCAGAGCTCATAAATAAGAGAATATTACAACGTTTTCCCCATGTTGCTTTCACGTGTTGTGCTTTAGTTTGATGATTTTTTGGACCTGTCATAATCCAACAAAGTACACGTACTCGTTTCTCAAGATCTTGTGCAACTTTATCTTCACCTTTATGGAAATCTTCATCTTTGTCGTGGAATGATACTTTTGTTTCAGGTCCAATCTATGTTTATTGATAACATTATAAATTATATCAGAAACACACTAATTATAATTAATTCACACACATGATATATGTACAATAGTTTGCACACATCAGTGTATACAATAATTCACATTCATCATATACATATACAATCACCTCCGATTCCAGCTCTGAAGAAGAATGCGGGTCTCTTGAAAGTCGAATATTACCAGAAAACCATGTTTTCACAAGGCACGCCGTGAGAAATCCAAAAATTACACCAATCACAAGAGCAAAAATGACATGCTTACTACTTCGGAAAGCCATTTTGAAATTATAAGTTATATAAAAAGACCACTGATTATTTCACAAGCGTGTTTTACTTTAGGCACACTTTATTTTACCATTAACATTTAGAAACCTCTCAAACATGATGTATGATTGAAATCCCGATATCCACTAAGTACATCTGCTAATTCTTGATATATAGATAATAGACTTAGACTAGCATATCTAATCGTAAGATATCAGTCGCACCCATTTTTTCATTCACAAGCAAAGATTAACAAGTTGCAGTCGTTGAGTCTTCGATTTTGATGGAACGTTTTCTGACGAATTTTGAGTAAAATTAAGCCTTTTTGATCGCTTTTATCGATAATCAGTACTTACGGACACATTGGACATTCAATTCTTTAAATTAAAAAAGAAATTGAATTACTTAGTGACATTGTGATGGAGATGGCAGCGAAGGTAGAAAAGGTGTAAATTCTCAAATTTATCGATAAGTTTTTTTGTATTTTCATGTATATTCTTTCTATAATATTTTATCGTATATATAAACATATAGTTTGCGTTATATATTTTTTACTTGTTTAATTTTCTTCCTTTTATGGGTATGTTTATACATCTTGATTCTTTACTTTATAACATTACACTCTAGTTTATCAATTAATTTTTTTCTTTCATTTTTAATTGATGGCAATTGTATTATCAGTATCAGTTTATACAGATGTCAACTCACTAATTGGCGTGTGTGAAGGTCGAACTAAAGCTATTAACCCCACCGTGAACTCTTTCATAATTCAATAATTTAATATTTTTTAAAATCATTAAACTAAGTTTAAAATATCTTCTCAAGTACCAAGTACTGAAGATAAGTCACTTTTTGTAGTTCTGTAGTTGTAAAAAAATGTAAATGTAAAAATGTAAATTTTTTTCTGCAAAAGCATCCTATAGAATTAGAAAAGTTTGACACAATGTAACAGTTATTTGTTACAGCTTAAACAGTCTTAGCTTGCACATTCTGCAAAAATATGTTCAAAACATTCATGAACCATTGTAGTATGTTTTCAAAATTTTTAAGGGAATTTGCAAAGATGAATTCACAATTTTTTTAGTGAAATGGAAGAAGTGTTCGAAGACGTGGTTGATGAGTTAAAAAGACGTCATCTTAATAAGTGGCACAGAGGCAAAGGGATACAGTTAACGTTTGATAAATGTCTGCTTGATAAGTATTCGTTAGAAATGACTCTTTCTCAGGTGCATCAGTCATCTCGCTGAATAACTAAACGAAACGTACATAATATTCTTTATAAAAAAAAGACATTAATACAATTTTTTTAAAAATTATGTAGAAATATACCTGGTCCATTTCAATGACCTTGAAATATAATGTTACGTGGAGAGCATAGTATTACAGGCCTCTGGATTAACCTTAATCTTAACTGTTATGTTATTATCGTATAAGTATGTCATTGTAGTAAGAAAGATTAACTTGATTAGTTTAAAGTCTCCAAAAATATGAAATTGAAAGAACTTTAATAAGGTGAAGTGGGGTAAGTTCGTAAACGGGGCAAGTGCGTATACAGGCTATTTTTATTACAATATGAGCGAAATTTCTCCATTTAGTATGTTGGTTTCCTTCTTTTGTTTCACTATATCCCCTTTTATATTTCAGCTAAGAGTACTTGTTTGCAGTATAGAGTATTGCATAATGCAGTAAAAAGCATTTTATAGCAGATTTGTTAATAATTCTTGCCCCATTGCACATGAAATAAAGTTTCAAAGTGTTTAACTTCAAGTTACGCTCTTAGCCCATTTTCGGGGCAAGTGTAGAGTAGTTGACATTTTAAACAATTTCCTATCAAAATCAAAATATACAAGAAAAATTAAGGTCCTAGTTAATATTAATTAAATAGTAGTAATTGTGCAAAGCATTCGATATCGACAGCGTTAAGTATTTACAAAGCAGACTGAAAATACTTACGTTTAACTACTAAAAATTAACTTTACAAAAATCAGTCTGCACTTACCCCACTTCACCTTATTTATTCTTTTTATTTGCTCCCTCATTTTAGTAAAAATAACGGAAATATTGCTTTGCAACAATATTAGACATCCTATAGGTGGGACGGATACTTGGTACGCAGTCGAGAGCGAAAGAATTGAATTGCATTGCGAGTCGAGTTGTTTAGTTTGTTTTGTCATTATCATTGCGGTTCGATCGTTGATCAACCCCTTTATGATTAGTTTCTCAGGTGTAATTTTATTATTAAAATTACATTCAATCAATAAAGAAAGTCAAAATTTGGTGAGTTTGTATTGAACTGTCTTTGACTATACTAATTATTAGTCTTCTAAATAATTAGTCTTCAAATGGAGACGTAGGGGAAGGTAGCCTAATTTGGACCAATTTTATATTATTCACTATATAAAAGCATGGAAGAAGTATTAATAAAAATTAAGTAGTAGAAAAGAAACTCACTAAGCGTAGCGTCAAAATAAAACCATTTATGAAATTTTAAATACCAATTATAATAATAAAAAATAAATTCAAAAAAATCTTGTCATCGGTCCAATTTAGGAAACCGGTTTCCTTATTTGGACCGCTAGCTTCCTAAATTGGACCATTAGCTTTTTTAACGACAATTACAACAATAGAACGTTTTAACTGCAGTACTAACTCTAGTACACGGAGTATGAATCCAAATGCGACATTTCATACATTGTATCATATCTTCTTCCTTGGTTTCTTCACACAATGTACAAAACAATGAACCACCATTTTCTTTTTTATGTTTCGGCATTTTGTCAAAGTTTGGTGAACTTATTTTTTTAAAGTTTTTTAAGTTTATTCGATCTAACTGCGATTTGTAAGGGCTACTTGTTACTTTCACTGTTTTCTGGGCTATTGACGCACTGCAAGAAGACGAAGGACCGTCTGGATTTTGATTTTTCTTTGCTCGCGGTGATATTTCTTCAAGAACTCTCCTAAATTGTTTACTTTCGTTGTCACTTCTATCTTCTTCATCATCACTGCTAGAATTTTTCTTTGCTCGCGGTGATATTTCTTCAAGAACACTCCTAAATTGTTTACTCTCATTGTCACTTCTTTCTTCTTCATCATCACTGATAGAAGTTGTAATGTGGTTGTCGAAATTGAACCGGTCCAATTTCGGCAACTGTTTCCGGTCCAACTTCGGCAACTTGAATATTTTATACTTAATATTATACAAAAACGTCAGACTAACATAACCTCATAAAATTGTAACAGGAAATTATAGACAGATAAGTAAGCTTTGTGATGATATAATAAGACCTGTAATTACTTACGTTTGGACGAATTAACGGCTTTCACTCTTACATCAAAATAACAAATTTTCTTCGTAGTCAAACAAATAACACTTCTCTCAATGTAATCATGAGACGTTTCTTCACAAACACGATTGCATTAATCTCGTCTACATCTACGTATAACAAGTTGCCTATCTAAAATCGCACAGATTTTATCAATCTTTGGATATCACAGTGGTCCAAATTAGGCGACGGTCTAAATTAGGCTACTTTCCCCTATTAACAGTATTTCTACCAAGGTGTCAAAAGACATCTTTCAAACTTTAACTTAAAATTATTCTCTAAGTTGAATCATTTTCTGTACAATTAATTTGTTAACCTTCCATACAATAGTTGTTAAATTAATTTATCGATGTTATTTTCTTTCAGCTCATTCTAGATCTAAAAATATAAATATGGTATACTTATTTCTACCATGAGGTATCTTTCGACACCTTAAGGATTTCATAAGAGTGCCTAATTTTAAACTATTTTAAATATAAATATCAACAGTATTTTGCGACATCATATCAGTTATAATTAGATTTGAATCCTGATTTTAGTTGTAACGGAAAATACAGGAGTCGCGGCATAACTTTGATATTCGCTCATTTCCCGTCATGTTGTATTTTAGTGTACACATCTATATTTATGGATTAATAAATTAAGCTTGAATTTACAACCTGATTAAATAATCTCTAATGAAACTACATCAATTTATCAATAAATATATTCCTCAATTTATCTACATTTAACTGATAATTCGAAATGCCAAGTGACACCTTTTGGTCGAAATAGGGATACACAAAATCGTGGTAGATATAGTGTTAAATAGTCAAGTAAGAGGTGTCGCATTTAACGGTATTTTGAAAGAAACTTGAATGAATGTTACAATTGACCATTTGATTGCACAGAAATGCGTTCAGCAAAAATGATGAATTTTTCAAATATAAACAGTGGATGTAGTAACAAGCCTTTACTACGACGATTGACCTTCAGCTGGCCATGTAGCGTTTTGCATGGAGATAAATTTTTAAAATGTTATCTACCTCATGAGATAAAATCTCGGTATTTTGAAACGTTCCAATGTCATCAAATAAGGAACGTGTATTTGTCTGTTCGCAATCAAAGCAACAGATAGATAATGAACTTTTAGAGGTTATTCTCGAGGTAGCGTATGATTTGTTCATAGAATTATTTACAAATTTAAGTCATTTTCCGTTATCTCATCAAGGTTTCGAAACAAGTTAAATTTTGAAAACAAAGTTTGATATATGAAGGATATGGAATTTGAAAAATGAAATAAATTAAAGTTATTGCAAACAAATTAATCTTTGTTTTTGTGATTAATTATAATGAAAATGGAAATGTTTACTTAATAATTAGTCTATGAAAACATATGCTTCCATGGTTGATTTTCAAATTATAATATACCTACTTTTTTTATAATGTATCTCTTAAAATAGTGTACTATGTACATTTTTGTCATGTAATAGTTATTCCTATATATTAAATAATGCATTTTAATACTTTTTACGCAACGTACTTAAATATTCAGACACCATTTTGTTACTTAACTCTGTAATGCGTCAAATTAATATGAATTTAACAAGTTTAAAAATTTGCATCATCAAAAGCAAACTAATATAAATATAATTCAATTTTAAAACTTTTGTCCGCAATATGTATTTAATCTATCATATAATCTTATATAC